CGAAAGACCTTCAAGAACGATCAGGATCGGCGAGTCGATACGCATGATCCTCAGCCTCATTAAACAGTTTCCAACCATATCTAATGATGTTCCGTTGATTTCAACCCTAACTTGTTGAGCTGGAGTGTTTTCGAGAGTTATGCTGACGTGGTTTGGCTTTTGATATCGCTGGAAAACAATGTCTTTAATGCTGATTTGGCCATTCTTCAGTTCCGCTACCATTTGCTTTGACTGCATCGATTTGACCTGTTCTTCGATGGTTTTTACGATTATAGGCTTCAGAATGGAAAACGCTTTGGAATTTATCCGCAACAGAAGTCCAGGATTCCCCTTGAGCCCGTCCATGGCCACTTCTTTTCTAACTCCTCCACCTCGTACGATCGTTGCTGCAGTCAGGCTCACGGAAAGCAGTACGAAAACGACACCGAGGTTTTCGATTGCCATTCTCCGTCACGCATACGAAGGGGAACAAGTCAGGTCACCTCTCTTGAAGTAAGTGCATGCAACATGCAGATGCAGAACAGTTTATGTGCCGTATTGAAGAAATTGCCGTTTCGAAGAGCTCACCCCACCCGCCCCGTTGCGTTGAAACGCTTCACTTAACTTCAGTTGCGTACTCAGCAAAAAATACTTTTTCTGTCATGCCTTTTGTCCCAGTGCCCTGTAAACCTCGATAAAGGAATTGCGAAATCGAGTTCGCTTCAGGGCGCCTTGACTCCTGCATTGGCAAGACGCAGAAAATTAGGTTGGAATTCCGGCTTTCGCTTAGCCTCCAATTTATAGATAGGTTGTTTTCGCAATTTGTTCGTGGAATGCAAACCTGAATGAGATACAAAACTTTTCCATTCTCTTCAAGCATGTTCTTGTTCATTTATTCACACCTCGGTTATATTCATGACTATTGAAACGGAAAATGAATTTTCATAATTAGTTTTATTAGTTTAAACGCAACTGACTGTAAATTTCTGCAAAGTATATTTGAATAATACGTGTTGCGTTATCGCATGCACTGAATGTGGAAAATCTCCTCATTGGCTAGCAATCACCTTACACATTTTCCAACTTTATGTTGCCCCTTCCTACAGCTCTCTGCTATTTTAAGTATTTGAAACGTTTTTCAGAGTCAGTCTGTGAAAACATTGCAGCGTAGCACTTGAAACGATTTTGGTACCGTATAAACCAGAAGTGTCCAAGGGCACTTCTATTAAGAATCATTTGACTCTATCAGTATCTGCATATTGTTGAGCAATCTCATGTAGCTTAGAGCGAAAACAACTAGTTGAGGATTTCGATCCGTTTCACCCATGTCCAAGTAGATCTGGATATTTTAAGCAGCACAAGCAATTAGAATGCCATCAAGACTTTTGTCGTAGCGGCGGTAGATAGCAACCAGACAACAATGATTATCACAATATTATTCAGCGATATACTTATATGACCTGTCTGTAATCTTTAGCCTCGACATGCACGTTATCTGCTGCGTTAAAATAGAAATCCCTTGAAAGCTATGGGTAATATATTCTCTTGAAGGTGTCTTTGGCGCATTGTCTTAATTTCAAGTCGCTGAAAGAGCTCAAGGGGACGTTTTCGTAATTTTAATGGTCTTGCTCCAGTTGGAGGTATTTCATGTTCTAAAATCTAAAATATTCAATTCATGAACGTTCAACATAATTTGATCATGTAGCCATTAGTCAGTCTTTTGGCCGCCTGCGATGTAGCTTTGTGACAAGACCCTGATGCGAATGTTTTTA